ATTCAGGAAAGATCCAACTTTCCTGTTCCAAACTGAAGTATAGTGGGTAGTCCTTTCAATGGCCCTTAAGTGTTTGTGTCCTTGATCCATACTGTATATACCTCATTAACTTGTAACCTTCTTTCCCATGGGATCAATGTTCCTTGATAGAAGGGAGGGACTACTATATCCTACCCACTCAATCTCTAGGGTCCTGTATACTGTCAGTACCTTCTATAGGCTTTGACAGTTATAAATAAAAAAAAAATAACATCCTGATGGGATTTTCAATGTACACAGACATAATATGACAGATATTGCATAAAGGGAAAAAAGTGAAGGGATCAGTATATGGAAGGTTTCTACATTTCAATTGAAGTGCTAAAAACCGGATTCTGAGTATTTTCTTTGTAATCCACTAAAATATTACATAGAAAAGACAAAGTCAAAATCACAATAGATTCTAAAAATTGATTACTAAAATGGATTACTAAAAATGTTCAAATAACCCAAAGAAAGCAGGAATAGATAAAAAGAATGACAGAGGGAAAAGCAGAAGACAATACAGTTGCAGACCTAATTCCAAACATCAAAAATTGTCTAAACACACCAATTAAAACAAAGACTGGCAGAATGGGTTAAAGAAAAAAACCCCCACCATAACCCAACTTTATGCAATCTATAAGAAAACTCACTTCAAATATAATTACATAGGGTAGATTGAAAATAGAAAGATGGAAGAAGACATACCATGCAAACATTAATCAAAAGAAAGCTAGTGGTGCTATGTATTTTTTAAAGGAATTCATTCTTTTTATTTTATTTTATTATTTTTTTTTGAGAGAGAGAGCGAGAGGGAGAAAGAAAGCGAAAGGGGGGAGAAGCAGAGGGCGAAAATCTTCAAGCAGACTCCCCACTGAGCGGGGAGCCCAACATAGGGCTTGATCTCACAACCGATGAGATAATGACCGAACTAAAATCAAGAGTCAGATGCTTAACTGACTGAACCACCCAGGCGCCCCAGCTGGGGGTGCTATATTAATATCAGGCAAATATTTCAAAGCAGAGAAAATCGCCAGAGATGAAGAGGGATATTACAATAAAGGGTCAATTCATCAAGAAGACACAATCCTAAGAATCCTAAATGTGTATGCAGCTAACAGAGCCTTATACAAATAAGTAAATAAACAGAAAGACATGATGTGTTTATAGAAGACGCAACATGGTAAAGATGCCAATTTCCCCCTGATTTATACAGATTTAATGCAATACAAATCAAAATCCCAGAAGGATTTATTCTTTTTTGGAAATATAGACTAGCTGATGCGACAATTTATGTGGAAGAGCAAGGGACTAGACAAGCTATAACAGTTTTAGGAAAGAAGAATAAAGTTAGAGGAATCACACTGCCTCATTTTAAGACTTCTAATAAAACTACAGTAAGCTTTATTAGTAAATCTACATTAAGATGTGATATTGAAGAAGGAATGAGTGCATAAATCAATGGAACAGAATAGAGAATCCAGAAATAGAGTCATTAAATATGGCCATTTGATTTCTGACAAAGGAAATTTAATGGAGAAAGCAACTACTCACCAAAACTAAAGTTGGGTGACTGTGGAGAACAAATCAAAGACTAAATGCAAATAGGGAGTAGATCATAAACTAATGTCAAGACTCCCAGGCTTTTCTTGAAGAAACCAATTTGGCAACAACTGGCTTGTATTCTCCCATGGCAACAATCAGCTAGATCCGAATGCTGGCAATTTCTTTAACAGGACTTGCATGCCCCAGTGTGTCTCAGCTTCCACAGCACCCTTCTCCTTTTCTTGACACCAAGACTTCATTAGATGCCATTTATTAACCCACCTGCATGATTGTTCTATTGTTTCTCTTAGAGATCTCCTTTAGATTTATGTCTCTATGAAAAGATGGAGAAGGGACGCCTGGGTGGCGCAGTAGTTAAGCATCTGCCCAGGGTGTGATCCTGGAGTCCCAGGATGGAGGCCCACATCGAGCTCCCTGCATGGAGCCTGCTTTTCTCTGCCTATGTCTCTGCCTCTCTCTCTCTGTGTCTCTCATGAATAAATAATTAAAATCTCTCTAAAAAAAAACTTGAAGGGACTTCAATTATATATATATATATATATATATATATATATATATATATATATATATATATATATATAGAAAAGATGGAGAAATAAAAACAGGGAAGACTATGGGTACTGAGAGAATTATTTTTCCTTATAGAAGGACAATATATTCTCATGTTTTGATTATGTATATAGTATCTCCTTGGCTTCACTTAGTATAAGTGTTATTTGACTCCTATACTGGTAGAAAAAGTTAAACAAAAATGATATAGTCACAGCTACAGAGCCAACTGTCTAAGAAGCTCGGGGGGGGGGGTGGTGTCTGGGCATCTGAGTCTGCAAGGTCCCAGGAAAGCTCCCTTAGGGGAGCAAAAGCCAAGAAGTAGCTGTGTGACTGTGCAATATCAGACCCTTTTCAAGAACTTCTCAGCATATATCCCACATAACACACAGCACCCTTCTGCACACTCCAGTGTGACTTTCTCATTTAGAGTCTCCTCTACCAGACTATTAACTGCTTAAGAGCAGAAATTAGTATTTTATGCTTCTTTGTGTGTCTGTAGTTTAGTACAGTGTCTGACATGTTTTATATATTCAATAACTCTAAAATTATTATTTTTTTTTGAAGAGGGGAGTGGGTAGAGACAGGGAAGAAGGAAAAAGAAAATCCCAAGGATGCTCCACACCCAGTGTGGAGCCTGACAGTGTGGGCTCAATCTCACAACGCTAGTATCATGACCTGAGCCAAAATCAAGAGTTGGATGCCTAACCAACTGAGCCACCCAGGTACCCCAACTCTAAAATTATTTTAAAAGTAATATATTAGCGGGATCCCTGGGTGGCGCAGCGGTTTGGCACCTGCCTTTGGCCCAGGGCGCGATCCTGGAGACCCGGGATCGAATCCCACGTCGGGCTCCCGGTGCATGGAGCCTGCTTCTCCCTCTGCCTATGTCTCTGCCTCTCTCTCTCTCTGTGTGTGTGACTATCATAAATAAATAAAAATTTAAAAAAAGTAATATATTAGCTTATTTTCCTTCTTTAAGAATCCATTACATACAAAACTAACATCTCTTTCGATCAACTTCCCCTAATCTTTTTTCTTCTCTCCCTCCAGATAACTGTATGTCCTTTTCAAACCCAGTAAAAACACTTTGTAGTATGCATATAAATCATTGAACAATATAGTGTTTATTTTAGTTTACATATGTGATATAAGCATTTATATCACTTTGTGACTTGCTTTTTTGCATCCCACTAAAGATCTATCCCAATTGACACATTTACAGACAGAGCTCAATACTTAATTTTACCTATTTTATAGTACCTCATTGTATGAATCAATCACTGTATCAGGTTTCCTTCCTTCCCTCCCTCTCTTGGTGAATAATATTCCAGTATATCGTGTTTTATGTATTCACCCACCACTGACGGACACTTAACTTGTCTTTGATTTTTCACTATTGTAATTATTCACTAATAACAGTATCCATGTTGAAATTCCACATGCTTACACAGGACCAAGCTATATTATTAGTCTATGGTAATGTACACACACACACACAAGTCTGACAAAATAGTTACATCACCAAGAAATGTAATTGGAAAGGACCAGATGAATTGCAAAAAATACATGATTGCCTCTAGAAACAAGCTGTCAAACAAAGTTAGGTTTTCCTAGTTACCAGTTTCAAATAATGGGGAGAAGGGATCAGTAGCTGGTCAGACTCAGCAAAATTGGAATGGGTGGGTACAAATGGGATGCTAACTCTGATACATAATAATGCAACACAATGTACCCATTCAGATAAAGACCCATTCTAAACTAGTGGATCAAACCAATAAGGAAGACTTCTGCTCATGAGGAACCTGGTTCTTTAATATTGATAACATTTGTCAGAATGTCATCTTTGTATTTATGGTCCTCAATGAGACCTCAAGTAGAAAAGAGATCATCCTCTATTACTTTATGTTAATTTGGGAAAATTTAAAAATCAAACAGTAATTGATGCTTCGGTTTAATCCAAGGTTAGGTCTAAAACACTGTAACCAACTCTTTGATAAAAAAAAAATATGCAAAAAGAACAAAGGAGCAGTAGACATTTTCAAAATATTTTACAATAATATAAACCATTATTTTATTATTATTCAAATAATTTCACAAATTAACTCTCTTTGAAGAGACTGCAATGTAGCTGCCCCACAGTTATATAAAATAGATAATGTAATGTGCAGCTTTCCAAGTCCTTGTTTTACAAACCAATTCAAAAACTCAGAGGAAGGAAGAGGAAAGGACCCTAAAATTAAAAATTCTCAACAATTACAGTCAGAAATACAAGGAGTAAAATGGAAATTCTTCCAGGCATGTGTCTGAAAGCACACAGCAGGATAGACACACACTTTTGTATTCATGTTACAAAGCATCATAACATAATGAACACCTGGAAACCAACCATGCAACTACATTAGTAGGCAATCCCAAGGAATCATATCTCCTCTTAGGTTCTTCTCTATTCTATCCTCTTGCCTCATCTCCCCGAAACCCCACCCCCATGAAACAATCACTACCTCTTTTGTACCATTTATACAAAAGATTACTAGGAACATTTTCAAGAGTGAAATTAATGCAAATTCATCTTGAGTAGAAAACCTAATTTATATCTATTTCCTATTCATATCAGGGACAGCACACAGCATCCCTACTGCGATGAAATCTTATATTAGCACCATCTCTATTAGAAATCTTCTCATGATTGAGATTCATCTCACAATTGATTTTTATGGACCTCACTCTCAAATATTCTAGCAAGTTGATCAAAATAAGCCTAACATTTTTTAACTTCTGAAAATAAAGATGGTTAAGCATACCACAGCATACTACTTCTATTAGATAACAGTTCAAGAGTAAAATACTTATAGGCAACTTACCTCATGTAAATTCAGCTCTTTTACTTTCTCTTTTAATATAACCTGTAAGACAAAAAAGTATGTTATGCCCATTTAAATCTATAGTTTAAAATTTTCTCTTTATACTCATATACATTTTCCTTTTGTGTATATGTAGCTCATTTCTCCTCCCAGTCAAACTTCTCTTATATTGAGATAGAACATTGTAGCCATATATTTTTAAGCAACATTTTTAAAAAATTTTGAGCAGTGAGCAATGTTCTCCTGAAAAGCAATTTTAAAATACTTTTGAGTATAGATTAAAATTCAGGAAAAGACATAAATAAATGCTTATTTGGACTAAGTGCTAATTTAGGAGGAAAATAAATGAGATTGATCCTCATGATTCACTAAGACATAGTACTGGCGGATGGGAACTGATTATTAATTTATAAAATATTTTTTAAAAATATTTTTAATTTATTTATGATAGTCACACACACACACACACAGAGAGAGAGAGAGAGAGAGAGAGGCAGAGACACAGGCAGAGGGAGAAACAGGCTCCATGCACCGGGAGCCCGACGCGGGATTCGATCCTGGGTCTCCAGGATCGCGCCCTGGGCCAAAGGCAGGCGCTAAACCGCTGAGCCACCCAGGGATCCCTAAATTTATAAAATATTAAAAAAATAAGGTCAAGCTTAATCCTGGAAGTTTTGCTTATTTTTATACATCATTATCCTTAGAAAATTTTAGCTCTACCCAGAGTTACGTAAATAAAGTTAAAATTCGCCCAGGTGTCCCTAACCTGATTTTGTGGTGCCTAGATACCAATTTAAAAAAATGACAAGTGATAAGAGGGCAGCAGATTATTTTTTAGAAGGAAAATTTCCAGGGGTGCCTGGCTAGCTCAGTTTGTAGAGCATGTGACTCTTGATCTTGGGGTTGTGAGTGTGAGCCTTATGTTGGGTATACCAATTACTTAAAAAAATAAAAGGGAAAGAAAAAATTTGAGCTTATTAGAACTATATGCCATTCTTAAAGTGAAAAAGTAGGCAAGTGAAATTTGGGGAAAATCTCCCAGTTTTAAGTATCTTATATTCCTGAATCAAAAATGGTTTTCAAGGAAAATCACATTTTCAGAAATCACAAACAAAAGCTATATCCAGCTATCCAAGGATTTACTAAATTTCCAATTCAGTATGTTTTAAAGACCACTTTTACTGTCTTGTTACTCTATTAATTCTATCAGTCAATTTCACTTGTTAAATGACCACCAATGCCAATTTTATTTTCTAGTTAGCTTACATACAAATATCTTATAGGTTGTCAAGTTTATGATAATATTGAAACAAAAGGATTCATTCATTTAGAAAACCAAGACATTCAACTTTGTATGAATCCCACATGAGACCTATGGGGAAGAGCATGGGGTTACCTATGAACATCAGTGTGGACATCTAAGAGACTTGATAATGAGCTCAGATTTCAAAGAGGCACAAACAAGAGATAGACAGAGATACATAATCCTAAAATGGTGACGTGGTCCTATAGCATCAGTTGTCAGCAAGGTTAAAAACTCAAATAAACTAAAGCTTGCTCCACGACCCCACAAGAACAAAACAAAACAAAAACAAAACCCCAAAAACCAGAAAGCAAAAAAACAAAAAAAACAAAAACAAAAAACAACTAAGGACAATAAAAATAATTTCATACTTTAGGCCAAAAGAAGATTAAGGAACACCTAGGCCCACTGTTTGGTGTCAGTGGTAAAATGTTCATGGATGATGACACATGGAAGAAAAAACAAATTTTACTTGGCCATCAGGAAAAGCTAAGTTTATTCCCTTAAAGAACAAATCAGCAAAGGAATGATAGTACAAAGAGTAGGGGTTAACAGCAATGACACAGTAGTTTGACTTCTGGTGGTATGATGTGAGGTAACATTAGTAGAAAGGAGGAGATGAGATCACTATAATGCAACTGGTCACCTCTGTGGAACTGACACGTCTTCTAATGGAAGAGGTAAAAAATTCATTTAGTGAAATCTCTGAACTCCATTAGATTAACAGTAACTTTAAGGACTATAAACCATAACATTTCCTTTTGGCAATGTTGTCTAAAGTTCTCTGTTATATTATTATATCTTCTGAAATATATATATATATAATACAGTTATAACTATATAACTATAACTATATATATATATATATAACTTCAAATACTTAAGATAGAAAATACTTAAAGTGAAGTTGATCTATTTTGTTTTGCAAACTGGAAGTGAAATGCTAAAATGAACACAAGTAAATCCAGTTCCAGTTTAAAATATGAGTGGAAATCTAAGTTCTCATTTTTTGATTAAAAAAAACAACAAAAAAACTATCAAAGTCAATCTGAAATAAATTTCTTACCTGTTTGTAGGCATAAAATTCTTTATGAGCTTGATGTCTTAACCTAAAAGACAGAAATGAGCAATGCAATATTGAGGTTTCCAATGTAACAATTTGATAAAATTCTTAAACGGATTTTTGAAATTTATATCATTTACAGTTTAAAATCCAAAATATTTATCCTGAAAAACACCCAAATGACATATCTGTTACCATGTTATGAGAAAGTAGCCAATGAACCATAAAATGTTATGTTATCCAAATGTTAAGTGAAATCTCATTAAAACAAAATCTTAACACAACAAATATATTTTTTAAAATCTTTTTAAAGATTCACCTATTTATGATAGACATAGAGAGAGAGAGAGAGAGAGAGAGAGAGAGAGAGGCAGAGACACAGGAGGAGGGAGAAGCAGGTTCCATGCCGGGAGCCCGATGCAGGACTCGATCCCGGGACTCCAGGATCGCGCCCTGGGCCAAAGGCAGGCGCCAAACCGCAGAGCCACCCAGGGATCCCCAACACAACAAATATTTTAATGAAGAAGCCTCAATTCTATTTATATTGGTGATAGTCTATTTATTTCAATAATATTTAATATATCACTTTTTAAAAAAAGATTTTATTTTTTTAAATTTATTTACCCATGAGACACACACACACACACACAGAGACAGAGATACAGACAGAGGGAGAAGAAGCAGGCTCCATGCAGGGAGCCCAACGCAGGACTCGATCCCAGGTCTCCAGGATCATGCCCCAGACTGAACGCGGCGCTAAACTGCTGAGCCACCTGGGCTGCCCAATATATCACTTTTTTAATGAAAAAGTTAAGTATAACATCCATCTAATAATGTATGAAAATCTTAAGAATACAGATAAATATAGGGTGCCTGGGTGGCTCAGTCTATTAAGCCTACCTTCAGCTCAGGTCATGATCCCAGGGTCCTAGGATGGAGCCCCATGTCAGCCTCCCTGCTCAGTGGGGAGTCTACTTCTCCCTCTCCCTCTGCCCTCCCGTCTGTGTTCTCTCTCTCCCAAAGAAATCTGGACTTTAGAAGTCTAAAAAAAAAAAAAATACAGCTAAATGTTTAAACACACACACACACACACACACACACACACACACGTAACTATCACTCAGATCAAGATATAGAACATTTCCAGGACCCCTAAAGTGACTCCTCCCAATCAATATCTATTCCTAAGAGGTACCTGCTATCCTGATTCCTATCATTACAGATTAACTGTGCTTGTTTTGAACTTCACATAAATGTATTTGATATATACTTTTTTTTTAAAGATTTTATTTATTTATTCATAGACACAGTGAGAGAGAGAAGCAGAGACATAGGCAGAAGGAGAAGCAGGCTCCATGCAGGGAACCCGATGCGGGACTCGATTCCGGTCTCCAGGATCACACCCCAGGCTGCAGGCGGCGCCAAACCGCTGCGCCACTGGGGCTGCCCCTTGATATATACTTTTTGTGTTGACTTCTTTTAGCTAACAATTACTTGTGAAATCCATACACATGGTTGCAGTAGTTTCTTTGACATATAGTATTCCAATATATGAATATAAGACTATCCATTCCACTGTTGATGAATATTTAGGTTACTTCCAGTTTGGGGCTATTATAAAGCTGCTACATAAATTCTACATATCTTTTAGTGGACATATAGACTCAATTCAGTCGAGTACATACCTAGGAGTAGAACTGCTAGTTAAAATGCTTGTACTGATTCCTACCTACTCTTAGATGTAATGCACAAGAGCTCTAGCTGTTTCACATCTTTGCCACTATTTGGTAGGATCAGTTAAAAAACTTTAGCCAATCTGGTAAGTTATTCAGTGGTATCTCATTTGTTTTAATTTGAATTTCCCAAATGATGTTTAGAACCCTTTTATATACTTATTGTCCATTTGGATAACTTCCTTTATAAAATGCCTGTCTTTAAAAAATGAGTTACCTTTTTCTTAATGATTTGTAGGAGTTCTTTATATATTTTAGATATAAGTCTTCTGTTAGGTCTATGTACTGCAATTATCTCCGACTCCTGCTTGCATTTTCATTCTCTTGATGGTATCTTTTTTTTTTTTTTTAGATTTTATTTATTTCTTCATGAGAAACACAGAGAGACAGAGACAGAGAGAGAGAGGCAGAGACACAGGCAGAGGGAGGAGTAGGCTCCATGCAGGGAGCCCGACGTGGGACTTGATCCCAGGTCTCCAGGATCACACCCTGGGTGGAAGGCAGCACCAAACCGCTGAGCCACCCGGGCTGCCTCTTGATGGTATCTTTTGATGAACAGAAGCTTTTAATTTAAATTTAAGTTCAAACTAATTTATAAACTCTTCCCAATAATGTCAGTTCTTTTTGTGTCCAGTTGAAATCTTTGCCTACCCCTTGGTTAGGAAGATATTTTCTCATGTATATTATGAAAACAATTTGTTATTTTACTTCTCCCATTTAGGTATCCAACTAAAATTACTTATGATCCATCTGAAATTAGTCTTTATATATGATGTGAGGAAGGCGTCAAGATTCTTTTTATCCACATGCAGATTTTCACTTGATTCATTTATTGAAGACCTTATTTTCCCTATTGCATAGCAGTGGTACATCTGTTGTAAATCAGATCCAATATGTGGGCCTGTTTCTAAAGTTTCTATTCTGTTCCATCGGTCTATTTGCCTATTCTTGTATACTGAGTTGAATAGTGTCAAAAATTCATGTCTGCTAGAGCCTCAGTGGTTGAGCATCTGCCTTTGGCTCAGATCATGATCCCAGGGTTCTGGAATCGAGTCCTGCATCAGGCTCCCCATGGGGAGCCTGCTTCTCCTTCTGCCTATGTCTCTGCCTCTCTCTGTGTCTCTCATGAATAAACAAAAAATTTTTTTTCAAAGGAAATAGAGTCTTTGTAGAGTAGTTAAAATGAGGTCTTACTGGGGTTAGGGGAGACCCTAAATCAAATACAACTGGTGCCTTTAGAAGAAGAGGAGAAAACACACAGAGACACAGAGAAGAAGGCCAGGTAAAGACAGAGACAAACTAAAATTATAAAGGTACCAGTCAAAGAACATCAAAGGTTTCTGGTAACTACTAAAAACTAGGAAGAGGTGAGGAGCGGGGGAGCAAGGCCTGTTGACACCTTGATTTCAAATTTCTAGACTCCAGAACTGTGACATGAAAGTTATTTTTAAGCCACTTGGTTTTGTGGTACTTAGTTACAGCAGCCCTGGGAAATGAATGCACCTGGTATCATTGCCACATTAATTTTTCTCTTAACTTTTATTCTGAAATAATTTTGAACTTAAAGAAAAGCTGCAAAAAAATAGAATTCATCTATATTTTCCTCCCAGCTTTACCAATGTTCACATCTTACACAACTATTGTACAATGATCAAAACCAGGAAATTAATACGGATATATCATTAACACTGTCATAATATTAAACAGACTTCATTTGAATTTCACCAGTTTGTTTTCCCATTAATGTCCTTTTCCTATTTTATTATCCAATCCAAGATCCTTTCATATATTTATGTATCTTTAGCTTCCTCCAATCATCTGACAATTCTTTAGTTTTCCCTTAACTTTCAAGATTTTGACACACTAACCATGATCATTTTGGTTATGCAGGTGTCTATTGGGTCTCTCCACTGTAAAAAAGTTACTATTTTTCTCTTTGTGACAGATCAGTATCTTGCGGGGAGATGCTGAAACTATGCAAATATCCTTTTTTTTTTTTTGCTCAATCTTTTGCCCACTGATTTTAGCACCCATATTACTTGTAACAAGAACTGTAGTGTTTGCATGGTGGTGGTTTTACAGTTTCCTAATCCCTTGTGCATTCATTGGAATTCTTCTGTGTAGAAGAGATGTCCTTTCTTCCTCATTTATTTTTATCAGTATTAATCCCTGTATTTGTTTTAGTCTATGGGTTATAATTCAATATGGTCATATTTGTTTTATTGCTCAAACTGATCTAGGTTTGGCCTTTAGAAGCTCCATCAGGTTGACTCCTGTGTCCTTTCAACATGCCCTCATCTGTTTCCATGCATGTCTTTGGTTACTGGTACCAAAAGGTGTTCCAGGCTCATTTTGTATTTTCCGTGCCCCAGTTGTGGAAAACTACTTCTTCGAAAGAATCTTGGCTCCTTTTATTGGAGAATAGTATTTGGAAACCAAGTCCTGGGTCCTAGGTGAATAGCATTCTGTTTTAAGTAGTAGGGCTTTGAAACAAGTCTTGGGTCTGGTAGTGTAAGTCACGCTCTGCTCTTAACTACTGTATTGGCTATTCTTGATCCTCTGCACTTCCATATAAATTTCATGAGGTAGTCAGTCTCCACAAAAAAATCTGTTGGGATTATTAACTTAGGTTGTATATAGAATTTATAGATCAGCTATGGAAGAACTGACATCTTTGGAAGACAGTTTCCAACCTATGAACATAATATATTCCTCTATTTATAAGATCTTCTTTAATTTCTCTCTACACAATTTCTATGAAGAACACTTATAATTTTCCATATTTCTGATTACAACATCCTGGAAGTTGTGAAGTGGTTATCTCGTAATGGTTTTAATTTGCATTTCCTTAATGACCAAGGATGTTGATCTTTCTATGTACTTGTTGGCTATTCGTATATCTTCTTTGGGGGAAATAGTTATTTATTTAAGTCCTTTGTCTTTTTAAAAATTCAGTTGTCTTTTTGTTGACGAATTGTAAAAATTTTCAAAAAATATATTGCTTATTAAAGTCTTATCAGATATATGAATTGGAGGGGCGCCTGAGTGGCTCAGTCAATTAAGTGTCTGCCTTCCATTCATGATTCCAGGACCCTGGGATCAAGCCCCACACTGGGCTTCCTGCTTAGTGGGGTACCTGCTTCTCCCTCTCTTGCTCCCTTGTTTGTGCTCACTCTCTGTCAAATAAATAAATAAATAAATAAATAAATAAATAAATAAATAAATAAAATATTTAAAAAAGACATATGAATTGGAAATATTTTTCTCTTCTGCCGATTATCTTTTTACTTTTCTTTTTTTTTTTTTTAATTAA